CGTCACCCGAAACCCCGAAACCAGAGCCGGGCGTGGCGGCACACACCTGCACTCCGGAGGCTGAGGCGGGAGGATCGCCGTGAGTTCGAGACCAGCCTGGGCTACACAGTGAGTTCCAAGTCGGCCTCAGCTACAGAGTGAGACCCTGTCTCAAAAAACAAACAACAAAAAAATACAAATAGAGGACGCAAGAGGAACCTGAACCCCAGACACAGTGCCGTGGGCGAGGCTGAGGGACCGGGACACACAGCAAGCAAGACCGTCCCGTGTAGGGACAGGAGTGGCTGTGTAACACGTGCTTACACACGAGTGACAACTCCCTCTTCTCTTTCTTGCTCGCTTTCGGTGAGACCGGGTCTCACTGTGTAGTTGAGACTGAATGGAAACTCACTATGCAGCCCAGGCTGGCCTCGAACTCAGAGAGACCCTCCTGCCTCAGCCTCCTGAGTGCCGGTGTCACAGGCCTGTGCCGCCACGCCCGGCTGTGCTCTGTATCCGTGTCACAGATCCGTGGACATGCGTCGTGGTGCATTACACATCTAGGAGTTAAGCATTATGTATGTACTTATTTATTTTTGTTTCATTTCGTTGTACTTTTGATACCGGAGATCGAACTCGGGACCTTGCGCTTGGGAGGCGGGAGGCGGCGCCCCTGAGCCGCATCCACGGCCCCTAACACTGTACACACACATTTCTGATTTTACAGAAACACAGTGTATGTGTATCTGTGTGATCACACGCAGACATGGCTCACGCGCCTGCATTACATGCCACATGCATATGACATATAAACCCGCGGCCTCCTGCCTGCGTCACACAGGGATGCACACCAAGTCCATGCACGAACGCTAGGTGCTCCCGTGCCGAACTCTTCCCATTTTATTTACCTGCTTTTCTGGGGCAGGGTCTCGCTGGGGGGGGTCCAGGCTGGCCTTGACCTCCCCGCGCGGCCCAGGCCGGTGGGAACGCGCGGCGACCCTCCTGCCTCAGCCTCCCGAGTGCTGGGATTATCTTGTTGTATTCAAACACAGGTGCGCTTGTCGTAGCACGTGTCTGTGCACAGCGCACACGGCTGGGTGGCCGTCCCGAGCGACACTCGGCACTCAGGAGGGTCTGTAAGAGCCGGGTGTGGTGGCGCACACCCGTCATCGCAGCCCTCGGGAGGCTGAGGCGGGAGGGTCGCCGTGGGATCGAGGCCTCCCTGGGCTGCACAGCGAGACCCTGCCTCGGAGTCCAGAGGCTCGGCGTTTCCGAGTTGCGACACGTGCTCTCGAACTCGGGACCTTGGGCTCGCGGGGCGGACGGCACCGCTGAGCTCCCCCGGGCCTGCTGCGTCTGTTTTGAGACAGGATCTCGTCATGCAGCCCAGGTGAGCCTCAGACCTGCAGAGATCCTCCCGCCTCGGCCTCCTCAATGCTGGCTGACCGGCGGACACCCCGGAGCAGAGCTCTCTCGTTTGCACCTTAGTGATCGAACTCGGGACCTTGGGCTCGCGGGGCGGACGGCACCGCTGAGCTCCCCCGGGCCTGCTGCGTCTGTTTTGAGACAGGATCTCGTCATGCAGCCCAGGTGAGCCTCAGACCTGCAGAGATCCTCCCGCCTCGGCCTCCTCAATGCTGGCTGACCGGCGGACACCCCGGAGCAGAGCTCTCTCGTTTGCACCTTAGTGAAGGAGGAAGACTTTCTTTTTATTTCCAGTTTGTCCCGGGAACTGAACCCAGGGCCTCGGCGAGTCACAGAGTGTCCTGGGCTGGGCTGCAACTTGAGATCCTCCTGCCTCGGCCTGCCGGGGGTGAAGTTAGGACCCAGGCCGAGCCGGCG